GACACTAACTAGCATAGAATAGAGGGGTAACAGATGAACTGTGAATAACAAGCCAGTTTACTGTACTTACAGTATTTTTCCAAAGACCTTTTTTCCCTCCGAGACACAAATACTTAAGCTTTCCCTTGTCAGGAATTTTCTCTTGGCCAAGGGGGTAAAACATTCAATGTGAAATTGTGCTGTCTGGGGTTTGTAGAAATACAGAGGTAGTTACAAAGAGGTGTCCAAGCTCAGTGAGTTCAGTCTCCAAAGCAACAGGCAGCTGCACGAGATGGCAGCACGTGTGTTCCCTATGCCTTCCTCCCAAAAGCACAGTAGCAAATCTAAAAAGAAAGTATCTAAATCTAAAATCAAGAGTCACAAATCCAACACAGCACAGAAAGACGCTCCCTTCCACAAGAGCACGTGTCAGGTGTTGCCCCTCTGCTGGCGACGGGTCTGCTTGGGTGATGTCAGCTAATCCCAGTCACAGCAGGTTTCTTACATAAAAGGCTTCATTTAACCATCAATTAAAAGACCACTATCTGAAAAGCTTTTATTATAAACTGGTCACTCACTGGTGAAAGTAACGCTTCCAGAAGATGCATTGTGACTCACCCACTAAACAGCTCAGGCTGCTTTCTCCTCACTGCTGCTCAGGAGCTGAACACAGCAGGAGAGGTGGCACAGCCAGCCCACAAGCGCTCCTCTGCAGACTGCTGCCAGCATCTATTTATTCCGCAAAATTGTCCAATTTGAGCTCTTTCAGCACTTTGCCTGTCTCGGAGGAAGCTTGCCAGCGAACCTGTTGGAGCTGCTGAGGTGTCATCCACCTGTGACCATTCTGAGAGAAAGAAAGAATCTGTGTCCAGCTCAGAAACACTTGGCCAGGGAAGATCACAGCATCACAGTAGGCTAGGGATTGGAAGGGACCTCAGAAGATCATCTAGCCCAGTCCCCCTGCCAGAGCAGGAACACCTAGATGATGTTACACAGGAACACGTCCAGGCGGGTTTTGAATGTCTCCAGAGGAGACTCCACAACCTCCCTGGGCAGCCTGTGCCAGGGCTCTGTCACTCTCACTGAGAAGTTTCTTCTCAAATGTAAGTGGAACCTCTTGTGTTCCAGCTTGATTTCATTACCCCTTGTCCTATCATTGTTTGCCACTGAGAAGAGCCTGGCTCCATCCTCCTGACACTCCCTCTTTATATATTTACAAACATTAACGAGGTCACCCCTCAGCCTCCTCCAAGCTAAAGGGACCCAGCTCCCTCAGCCTTTCCTCATCAGGGAGATGTTCCACTCCCTTAATCCTCTTTGTGGCTCTGTGCTGGACTCTCTCAAGCAGTTCCCTGTCTCTCTTGAGCTGAGGGGCCCAGAACTGGACACAATATTCCAGATGTGGCCTCACCAGGGCAGAGTAGAGGGGAAGAAGGACCTCTCTCAATCTACTAACCATCCCCCTTCTAATACACCCCAGGATACCTCTGACCTGGTGCTGCCAGGAAAACACAAGGAGTCTCAGAACGCAACATAAAAGGCACAGGGAGATGGCAGAGAGCAGGACAGGGCAGTGTTCTGGTGTGGGTTTGGAAAGAGAACAGCGCAGGTGGTGGCACATATCCCCCTGCTCGCTGGGCTGCTCTGGCAGCTTCTTTTCAGTGCTGCTGGCCAACACGCAAGGGTATTCTGTCTTCTGATACTCAAACTCCAGCTCTTACTCTTCCACATCTATCAGATTCTGCTCCTCTGCACTGCAATCTGTATTTCAGCAAAAATTATTAGTTCTATTTAGTCCCCTTGATTCAATTCTTCATTTCTACAAGGGTACCCTTGCACAAGTAGCCACAGCCGCTGTTGTCTTCAAGGACCAGGTGCTTGCAGGAGAGGAGGAGGCCTTCTCACCTCCTCATGCAGCCTGCTGGGAGAAAAAAAATGGGAATCTCCTCCCCCACAGCACAAGCCCACTGTCCTCTAAGCTGGACTCAGCACCCTGGGAACCGAAGGAGATAGTCCCACCATACACCAGGCAAGCCTACCCGAAAAGGACCCAGAAAAAGTTCCCCGTGGTCATGTCTCTCCCATGTCACTCGGTGCCTTTCACAGAATCACAGAATTGCTGAGCCTGGAAAAGACCTCTGAGATCATCAAGTCTCTGCCTCAGATCACCCTTCTGGTTTAGTTTGTATTTAAGCACAGCCCAGTTCACCTACGTGTGGTTGCTACTAGTAGAATTTTCAGCTTGGTACCTGCTCTTCCCAGTTTCACCCCTGCTCCACCATCCCCAGCACCCTCTTACAGCAAAGGAAGCTGCTGCACAAGAATGTCAGGATTTGGTAGGCTCTGTCTGGTTTTTTTGTAAGAGGTATGTGTGAAGTGATGTCATTTATAAAGTGAAGAGTGTTAAGAAAATGTCTGAAATAAAGCTATACAGCTCACAAACTCAGGTAACCAAAACAAGTCATCAAAACCACCTGTGCAATAGCACTTTTAGCAAAATTATAATAAATTAGAAAACGGGCGTGGTGAGGAAAATAAATGGTTATTAGGGGAATATAAACAAAAGACACACTTAAAAATGCAAGTTGGAAACATTCAAAAAAAGGAATAATGTCTTTTTCGCTCATAAATACACAACAGCGTGTGCATGCACTCACCCACTGCCATGTCCCTAGGAACAATCTTTCTTGCACCACCGCAGCTTTGCTGAATTTTTGAGCTTTACTGGGGTAGGTGGATTGGAAGTTACACGAGCGAGAAGTGACTTTTCAGAAACCATCCACTGTGATCTCTGAGAAATAATGTTGATTTTCTAAGCATCTTAACCCCACCCCATGTAATAAATCACACTAACAATTATGAGAGATATCTGTTTGCAGTGCAGTCTTTCAACTCACACCAGGCTGTGAAGGATGCCATCTTTACCTTCTGTACAAGACAATTTGAGAACTGCAGCAGTTTCAGTTTACACTATGAACAAAGCTGCTGTGAATTTGACAGCTGACTGGAAAAAAAAAATGTGAAAAAGGTACAAGGAACCTTTAAAATTATTCCTATTAATCCTAATATGTTTTGCTAAAACCTTTGCCTAGGATGTGCCTGCAACACTAAGATAGAGTTCCCTTAAGATCTTAGTGAAACAATAAACCAGACAATTTAAGTCTTGATAACAAACCAGGTTTAATTTTGTGTGGCACATTGACCTTCAGGAGGGAGTCACCAGGACTCCAACCACACCCCTGCAGGACAAGGGGAGAAAATCAGATGAAAATCTCATGGATCAAGATGAAGGCCAGTTGGGATCAGCTGTCCTGGCTGTGCCCCCTCCCAAACTCATCCCCAGCCCACTGGCCTTTGGGACGGTGGAGAAGGGACAGTGCTGATGCCATGGTGGGTATCAACACCCTTCCACCTACGGGCAGAGCACAGCTGGGCTGCTGTGGGCAATTAACTCCACCCCAGGCAGACTCGGCACACATGGAGAATGACATAAAGCAGCAAAGCATTTTAAAAATTTCAGTCCCTCAGGTTCAGCGTAGTCTATACAACTGACATTCATGATTTACTTAACAGAAATAGTTTATTTAAAAAAGAAAACTATCTAAGCCCTTATCTTGAAGGGCATATACAGCAGCTTTTTAATTGCATAGGTAATACTACAGCTTTGACAGCCCTTAATGAAAGAGCCAGGCAATGAAATTACTTGCTGACACCTGAAGCCATCCCACTGCTTTGGAAAATGCTCGTCACACCTCAAGCCCACCCAGGCAGCACCTCCACACCTCATGGCTGCTCAGTCACCCCTACCCCCTTTTGGGATGGGGAGGAGAAAATACAACAAAAGGGTGGAGGGTTAACACTAAGGATACGGAGGTCTCACTCACCACTTACAGTCACTGGCAAAAACCAGAGCAGACATGGGAGACGTGCAGCTAGGGGGACTCAAGATTTGCATGGGAGCCACCCCCATAGCTCCACCACCACCCAAACCCCACAACACACACCCAACACATCTGCTAAGCTCCACACTAGAGATTTGCAGGTCTTGATTATTTTCATGGAAGTCTTCAGGAAGCTCAAGGCTCTAATGGCTTATGGCCAGCACTTTTTGGGGAGTGGGTTGTACAGAGGTGGAAGGAAAAGAGCAGGAATAGGTCTAGGTCTTGGCTCCTTCAGTGGGAGTGGTTCCACCACTGTGAATACAACACTGTATTCTAAAAGCCTCAATTTGAGAATATTTGGAAAATAGCGATGACATTTTAGGGGGGGTTACTGAAGCAGTGAGTTGAGGAAACATACAAGAGGCACTGTCCTGCCCTTTACTGGCTCAATCACTTTATTCCTCAAGCAGCGTTCTTTGTTAAGTTGTAAGGTTCTAGTCCTTACATAAAGAGCTAAACGTGTAATTCAATTTGAAGTCTTTGGCACATCCTGAATTATAGAGCAGAATTCATTCCCATATTCCAAGACATTTAATAACTGCAATAGTGGGTTTAGTTCTTTTACTAGGGTTTAAAGTAGAACATTTTCCCGCTTCAATACCGAAAACTGTATTTTGGGTGAAACTTTTACTCTTCAGAGTTTTCAACTGTTATCTGCAGAAAATTGCAAATAAGTACAAATGTCATTAAGCTGACCGAGTCCGCGTCCATACCCATACTTGCATACTACTATACATTTACTCCTCCACAAAAATCAAGCCCAGGAGGTGGAGTTTTCTATAAAAGACGCAACCATTACTTACATTATCATCTCAGAAAGAAAATAGGGCCTTTAGAAGTTTTAGGCAGAATTTCCAGAATATTAGAGTCCAGCCTAATGCACCAAGCAACCCAGTACCCAAATTATACTAAACTTGGTGCCGCTGAGAAAAAACACTCAATCCCAAAAACATGTCATAGAAGCGAAAACTGAAGGTAAGCCATCGTTTACAGAGAAACATCACACAGAGGATGCCTTGCAAGCTGCTTTCTGTTTTCTTCACTAACTTGCACGATCTCTCTTGTATAGTGAGCCAAAAATCACTTAGTTCTTCTTGATGGTGGAGTGCTTCTGAACAGATCAAATTCATCCTGCAGTTCATGAACAGATAGGCATTACTACAACTTGCATGCATTCCAAGTCATAAAAAGTCAAGTCACCTTTAGATTAAAATAGAAAGTCTGGTCACACTATTCCATGTTTGCCAACAGACCTGGTTTTGTTGGTTTTGATATGAAAGAGATTCTCAGCTGATTTAAAAGTTCAGATCACAAATTCTTCCCTTTTACAAGATTAAAATGAACAAATTAAAGGACATAGCCAAGCATTAGAGTAGATCACGATTTCTGTCTTTCCCAGGCAAAACAACTTGTTTCACACATTTCAGAAATGACAATTTACTGATTAAGAATTGATGGGAAAAAAAAGGACTGGATATTCTCTTAAGGTCCTTTTTAGCCTTATTTTTGATGATTACGTATATATTCTAGTTAAAGCTGGTTGCAGTAATCTAGCCCTATCAGTGAGGAAAAAGAAAATGCCCAATTTCACTCTGAAATGCTTCATTCAAATAGCTGTAAAACAGTAAACTATAGAAAATTAAAATAAAAAAAAAAAAGGCTGCTATATACCATACCTCATCCGACTCAAAATCAACTCCTCTGGATGTCTGGCTTTGTGAACCTCTTTTACTAACTGAAGGTGTAGTTGACAACCTTGAAATATAAAAAGGGAAACAAAGGCATCAGCATGTTCTCAATTACCAGGCATTCCAATAACTTGCCCTTCAATTTAGCCTTGGACCCCAAACAGAAATAACAGTAAAGAGAACTACTCAAATTCTCAAGCTACCTTATTGTAAAGCTCTGAGCCAGCTTATCTCAATCAGTACATCAACTTATTGTTACAGAAAGATCATCCACATTAACAGGTAAAAACAATTATATAACTTCTCTAAGTAACATTATGACTTTCTTAAAAATGTGGTTTTTTCAGGTAGTGGATCAGATCCCTGGATTCTGCTGCCCAGTCAGAAATAAGGCAGCAATGGTACCATTCCTGAAGTAAACATACCAACCTTTGATTGACTTTGGAAGGAACAACAGAAACTTCTTCCATATCAGAGTCATCATCTATAATATCCTGAAAAAAATGATATAATTTATAAAGCTATTTAACAGAGTTTATTCTTACAGAGATACAGTGCATAATACTACAGTACTAGAGCATAGAACCTTTGGGGTTTTTTTCCCCTACTATATACTTATTTATAACCTACTTAGTTACTCTAACACATACTTGAGAGGGCTGCAGGCCAGAACTGTACAAACATGCAAATACAGCACAACTTTTGCTCTTCTTACCCTTGATCATGCAGATACTCTGAAAATACTCATGTATATACTCTCTGCATCTTAAGACTGTGGTCACAAACAAAACACAGTCTTCATTTTCGTCAGACCAACATGATACCAAAAAAGGGCACAAAAGGTTGACAAAATTAACATGCAGAAGCTTACTGCTGGAACTGACAGCTTGGGAACATCTGATGATTTAGGGTAATGTTTTGACCATATATTCATTTCTCAAATCAAGAGACAGCCAAAGGCAGCGCAACGTCACTCAGGCAACATGCTTCTTACCTCAGAATAAGATTTAGATGAATTCAAGGAGGCCTGTGGTTTGAAAGACTTAAAGGCTGGAATAAAACCAAATATAGTTTTTGATGTGCTCACACAATAAAATACAAACAATGTTACATCATTCCTTTTCTGACTTGCTCAGAATGCATTTCCTCTGCAAAATATCCTAAATACCCTAAAACACAAAAGCAAAATCCCCCAAACCCAAACATAAATTAAGGCTTTGTGAGAATCTGAGAGTCTGGGGATCTAGCCCTCTGCAGGTGCTTCTCAGCCTGGCTGAAAAGCTTTCAGTAACTTTGGTTAAGAGGAAGAGAAAAATGTCACTATAATTTGTATTTCTGTACATCTAACAGTTTAGACATCAACATATCTGCTAAAATTTATTTCTCTGAAGTATTTTAGATCATTTGCTGACCAATTTAAACTTCAAGTAATACGCTTATTAATTTAAAACTCGCTTTACTTCTGTGTATTTTCTGTGGGATTCACATATAGATTCATGAGCTGTATTTTTTTCTTTAATACTCGTATTACCTACGCTGTTTCCTCAGAGCCTGTCCTCTGGTGTAAGGAAGGGCTACTCTCACAAATGAGGCTTAAGTCACACACGTGTTTCTCTCCCCTAATAAAAACTGTCACTTCTGAAACTTGCTACAATGTCAAGACTAAATGGATTTGCATCAGCCAAGTTAAAACTTTTATCCACTGAGGAATATTCTGCAGAAAATAGATGCCAATAAATCACATTCCTTCCATGCTTACTCCTTAAGGAACTGCATATAGCAAGATGTTCCCTATTTCTAGTTCTAATCAGCAGTTCCCAACATGTTTCATTGTACCCCACAGCAGCAGGGTTATCGTTATTCTCTTTTTTCTCCCCTCCATTTTGGTTTCTCTCATCACCATTAGCCCTTGTATTTAATTAGAAATGAAATAATCTCTCATAGCTGTATCAGACTAAAAGAAATAAAGGCAATTAAAGCACTTCATTATTAAACAAACACCTCCATTACAATTAGAGTCATGGTGAGATCGAATGCCTACCATCCATGATTGACATATTCTTGGCAGGCACAGACACAGGCTTGTAGGTTCTGCTGCTCGTAGCTGACTCTTGGCTAGTGCTTCCTGCAGGGATAATAAACAATAGGTTGTTCGGTGGTCGGGTTTCTGCCCCCCCAGCTTTAGTCTGTCATTACTGAGTGGGAAGTCACTAGAAAACCAACATTTCTTTTTATTTCTTCATTTTCTTATCTGAATCAAAGCCCTTCTCACATGCAGAACTGCTCCAGTTCAAGCATTCAAAACTCTACAGAGCCAGCCTCTTAACACACACACACACACACACACTCACTCACTCTCTCTCACACTTTTAGCTTGGGAAATACACACACACACACACACACACACACACTCACTCGCTCTCACACTTTTAGCTTGGGAAATATATCCCATTCTCTCAGTCACTTGCAACAATGAAGTCTCTTGTAAATTCCATTAGGATAGGTACAATCTGTACCTCTTCTCTGTACTGATCCAATGCATTACCTTTAGCAGTAACAAAGGGTTATTCACACACCTCACTGCACAGATCTTCTCAATAATGCACCTTTTAACAGTCTATTATGTTTCCACAACTGGGAAGCAATATCTTTATTTTAATCACCCTGTGAAGAAGTCACAACTTAAGGCTTGTAAAGCAGTCAACTGTGTGTAATATATCAAAAATACAGGGGAAGAAAAATGTCTTCACAAGTAAGAGTCCTTAAGCAATAAATTTCCAGTAGATACAAACATTAAAGAAAGTCACCTTTTAAGGAGGAAAAAAAAAAGTCAGTAACCACAGTACAAAGAATGTGAAGTTTTTCTTACCTCTTCCCCTTCGAGATGAACCTCTTGCTGTCGCATTTTGTCCTCTTGCACCTCTTGCCCTGCCCCTTGCCCGCCCCCTTCCTTGCCTCATTGTTCCAGGAAGGGCATCATCCGAATCACCAGTGCCTCTTGTCCCCGTGTCCATGAGTTCTTCATCACTGGAAGCCTCGACAAGAACAGCATCCTCAGATCTGAGGGCTCTAGCCCTGGTCATTGCCTGAAATGGAATAATAGGTGCTAGAGGAAAAACAATTATTAAATACACCATTGTTAAATGCTAGTTGTGATAATACAGCTCCAAACCATTAAGGCTTAAAAGACTCAAACCCACAGCATCATGGAAAGCAAGGAAGCCTGTCTAAAAGCAGGAACAGTTTTTAGTCTCTTTAATTTATACGCGTGTATATAATATACAGCTCCAAACCATTAAGGCTTAAAAGACCCAAACCCACAGCATCACGAAAAGCAAGGAAGTTTGTCTAAAAGCAGGAACAGTTTTTAGTCTGTTTAATTTATACGTGTGTATATAAAGTAGCTAGCTAAGCTCTCAAAACAGAACAGAACTAGTTAATCATATGTTGTCAGTGGAGTTTGATGACCAGTACAGGTCATCCTGTATCAGCCAGGTACATCTGCTCAGAGGAAGAATCCTTCATCTTCACTGCTGGCAGCGAGTGCTCAAGACAACTAATTCACACAAAGAGGAGAACTCAATCCCAACCCAGGTGTTCTTTTCCTCAGTTTCATTCCAGCCCCAGACAGCTCGCAAAGACACAAGAGCACCAAGGCTGTCAGTTCTCTTTGGAAAGACGCACACAACCCAGATACAAATCTCTGGGAGATCTAAGACTCTAAGACTACTAATGAGGACAAGAGTGCCTAAAGGTTTACCAATAAAGCAAATGGTTCCAGTAATACACTCAGTATAGCCCACCCACAGGTCCACTGGCGATGGGATCACAAATTGTTTAAGCTGACAGATGTGAAGGTCACCTGGTCTAACCTCAGTACAAGGCAAAATCAACATGACATTCAGGTTCACAAATTTGCACAAGAAAAGAGATCTCAAAAGCCAAACTGAGTAGTAGCTCAGGCACATACTATACTCAGGAAGATTTAAAATAGAGTTACTTATCTTCCCTAGCCAGAAAGGCACTTTTGGCAAGGACAATGTTGAAGTATTGCTAAGTGACATCATTCACACGCAGTGGTCACCATTCTACTCTTCAACCTACATTCAAAATTCAAAGGAGTTACCTCACGAACTTCCTCATCCTCTTCTTCAGTATTCTTTTTTCTACTCTCCCTGAATTTTCGCACCTGAATAAAAAAGTTTTCATCAAAGTAACAGCTAATGTCATACAATAATCAACATGCAGTAAGTGGGAAGTCTTAATCACCGAATTAAGTCAAGCTCATGCAAGAGGCAAAAGAGAGTATAAGAATAACTGAACAGTCTGTTTAAAGCTTTTTCAAGCTGTTCTACAGTCCAAGAATCTCACATTCTATTAATAACTGGAGCTACATCACTGGAGAGAAAAAACTTGGGACACAATGAAAAGCAGGAGGTATGTTCAGGAGAAGGAAAGTATACGTAATTTGATGTTAAGGGACAGTGAAATATGAATAAGTGGAAAAGAAGGGGTAGAGATGAAGAAGCGAGATAGAAAACAACAATATTGGAAAGAGACGAACTTTGCAATACATGTAAAACTAAGAAAGCTCAACTTGTCAAATACGGAAAAAGATATGATGGGTGGGAGGGAAAGAAGCTATTAGTCTGAAATACAAACAACCAGCAACTCCAAAGTGGCACAGAAAGTCTATGGGCACTAATTTCAACCCCTCATGAATTAAAGCAATCAGCAAGAAAACAGGCGGTGCAACCTTCCTCCTCCCACATGCCAAATTATTCTTTACACAGCCCACAGCTAAGCCGCCAGAACAACTTGTCACACAATAATTAAATATTACAGCTGAATACATGGGCTCTTATGGAAGCTCAACATGTTGGCAGACAAGTCTGTTAAGGGTTCCTAGATACACGTAAACCAGGTTTGTCTCTGGGAGACTCTGAGCTGCAAGCAGTCAGGAGCCAGTAAAGCACCTGAAGGATAAGTTTCCTCTGTGCTTGCCCTGTTCTGGTACTCCTCCCTAGGCCAATATGGAAAAGCTAAAAAGAGATTATATCTACCAACCTTCTCACAGTAGATATATATCTAGTTCTACATATATTGGAGTGACAGACCTATTCCGTGCATGCGTGTGCAAACACAGCATCAGTCTAAGTAAACCTACTCCCCATTTTCAATATAAGCTTTAAAACTACGGATTTGAACTTCATCATATTTATTAACTCCAGAAAATTACAAGAGGCGTTACACATGTTCCTCACATGAGGAATCATTTAAACCAAGTTTGAGCACTACTTTTTCTACTAGCTGCCTCAAACTCTCCTAAGGAATTAACAGAATATTACCTCTTCATCTATTTTTTCTTCCTCTGCATCAGTGCGACGCTCCTTAAGAAACCTCTGCGTTTTTTCTAGTTGAAATTTCACCAACTCTTCTATGGCATCTTTTTCCTCTTTGTCCACAAACTCTTGCACTGCTTCCCCCATTCCTCTTTCAGTTAGAAGTGAGAGCTGTACTTTCTTTGTAATCAGGAAAAACATTTTGTTAAGAAGCATTTGCCAAAGCAAGTAGTATTACTGTTGTTTCAGAAGTTGGATCCGAAAACAATGTGCTTTGAAGATTTTAACCAGAGAAAAGCACAGCAATAAACAAACAGGTTATTCATCAAAATATACTTACAACCCTCTTGCTACCAGCATGTTACACCTACTTAGAGTAGTTTCCAGACTCATCAAAAAAAGTTTCATAAACAGTAAACCCACAGCAGCAATCACATCTAAAATAATTTGTCTGAAACGTATTGCTGAGAGAAGGTAAACTGTATTCTTTCCTAGTTCCCCTCACTTTATCAAAGTTAGGACTCACCTGCAGAGACATAAAAATGCTATTAAAAATAGACCCTGAATTACTACAAATGCTGTTTTGCTGAGTTTTACTGTAAAATTCTAACATTAAAAATGGCAGTTACAGAGCAGTGCAAATCATCATTATGAAGCATTTAGAGCTATTAAGTAGAAGTCTAGTGAAATGCAATTCTGTAAATACCAATAGCTCTCACATGTTCATCAACTGAGATAACATTCAACAAGACGTTCTACATTAAGATATTACTACAGACACTAACTAGTACAAATAGTAGATGCT